TGCTCCAAGCCCCATCCAACCTGCCCTTCAACACTGCCAGGGATGGGGCAGCCACAGCTTCCCTGGGCAACCTGGGCCAGGCTCTCACCACCCTCACACCAAAGAATTCCCTCCTCATCTCCAACCTCAATCTCCCTCTTCCACTTTTCATCCATCCCCCCTTGTCCTCTCACTAACAGCCCTTCCTGGTGTCCTCAGCAGCAATACTTGGGGTGGAGGTGTCTGCTGTGTGAGGAGAGGCTGGGAGAGCTGGAGACTGAGGGGGGATCTCATCAACCCTCCTCTATCTCCAGGGGTGTCAGCAGGATGGGGCCAGACTCCTCCCAGCAGTGCCCAGTGACAGGACAAGGGGCACTGGGCACAAACTGGAGCACAGGAGGTTCCAGCTGAACAGGAGGAGGAACTTGTTGACTGTGAGGGTGACAGAGCCCTGGGACAGGCTGCCCAGGGAGGTGCTGGAGTCTCCTCAGTGCTTCCATCCCCCTCATCCCTCCCTGCCCTTGTCCCAAGTCCCTCCCCAGCTTTCCTGGAGCCCCTTCAGGCACTGGAAGCTGCTCTAAGGTCTCCCTGGAGCCTTCTCTTCTCCAGGCTGAACTTCACAGGAGAGCCCAGGCTGAGCTGCCTGCCAGGGAGCTCTGCTCATCACTGCTCTGGTTTCCTAGTTTCTGGTTTGTTCACATGGGGAGGACTGAGGGATTTGCTGAGCTCCAGCTCTGAGATTTGGCTGAAGGGCTGTCAAGGAGAAGAAAAGCTTTGTCCAGGTGTTTGGAGGAGACCAAGTCCCTCACTCATAAGCAGTGACTGGAAACACTTCCAAGTGCTTGAAATCCACCAGCTGCTCCAAACTGCCCTGGGTTTCTGGCAGAGGCAGAGGAGGAAAAGGCTTTTCCTTCTCCTTATCTCTGGTACCAGGAGCTCTTGTGGCTGAGCTGCATAATCTTCTTCAAAACAAGAGATTACTGAGACTTCTCCTTCTGTCTCAGGGCCTCTGTGGTGGGGCTGCTGCTGAGTCTTGCCACGTGACCCCCCTGGGCCAAGTTCAGTGTTCCAGAGACCTGTTTTGGGGATCAAATCCACAGGAATGTGGCTGTTGCTCTTCTCCTTCATGTTCTGCTTCTGATCTGTCTTGAAAATGAGATCAAGCAGCAAATGTATCTTCCCTGGGTTTCCTGAAGGGCATTTATCTACTGGAAGGAGGACATGGGGTAATGCATTCAAACTGGAGGAGAGGAGATTGAGGTTGGATGTTCCAAACTCCTGTTTTGGGGCTCAAACCCACAGGAACAGGGTCATTACTCTGCTGCTGGCAGGGTTCAAATGTGGCGTTTCCCTTCTGGTTTTTTAAGTCCTGTGTCCTGTTCTGGAGCCCCCAGTATAAGGAGGAGATGGAGCTCCTGGGGAGAGTCCAGAGGAGCCACAGAGATGATCCAAGGCTGGAGCAGCTCTGCTCTGGAGCCAGGCTGGGAGAGTTGGGGTGTTCAGCCTGGAGAAGAGAAGGCTCCAGGGAGACCTTAGAGCAGCTTCCAGTGCCTGAAGGGGCTCCAGGAAAGCTGGGGAGGGGCTTGGGACAAGGGCAGGGAGGGATGGGATGAGGGGGATGGATGAAACTTGGGAGAGGGAGATTGAGGTTGGAGATGAGGAGGGAATTCTTTGGTGTGAGGTGGTGAGAGCCTGGCCCAGGTTGCCCAGGGAAGCTGTGGCTGCCCCATCCCTGGGGGTGTTGAAGGGCAGGTTGGATGGGGCTTGGAGCAGCCTGGGCTGCTGGGAGGATCTAGATGATCTCTAAGGCCCTTCCCATCCCAAACCCATTCCCTGATTTCCATGCAGCTTTTTCCCCCAGTGCTCCTGGGCTGTTTCAGCCTGACAGCCAAACCCACTGCCTGTCTAAAAGGTACATTTCTGAAAAATGCCTTGTTTTTTTTCCCCCTGCTTGGACAAAAACCCCATCCCTGGATGCCCAGGGGTAGGAAAGGGAGCCAGGACCATGTTTGATCCCTGGATGGCTGAGGTGGGTAGATACTGAAGACAAGAGTTACCTGCCAGGGGAGGTCCACTGATAGCTGCAATCCCAGCAAAGAAGGCAGCAAAACCCAAGTAGCTGTGGAGCTTTTCCACACCCACCAGATCCACCTGTTTGGAAAACCCAGTGGGATAATTATGGATGGAGGTCACAGGAAGACACAAAGAGATTCCATTTTTGGTTTTAACTTTACTTTCTCTTTTTCAGCTGCAGTTTTGAAAGGACTTGGCTTCTCTAGATCTGCTCCAGCCTGGGATCTGGTCACCTCCTTCAGGCCAGGATGGAAATGACTGGGATACCAGATGTTTTTCTGTCTTCCAGCTGCTTGGGCATCTCCCACAGCAACTCCTAATGCTCTTAAGACTTTTGAGGGAGGTCTTTTAAACTCTGAATTCCTTTCCAGAAAGGAATGTACCTTCCCTCTCCAGATCCTGCTGTCACTGGTGTTAGAATTCTGGGATCAGGAGCAGATGTGGACATCCCTCTGTTTGATTAGTGAGACAGGAATTGGGATGGATCCATTTATTTCCTGTGACCTGGAGGAGTCTCCTTCAGGAAGGGGGGGTGTTGGAGATAATTAGCAGAGCCAGGTCATTCAAAATCAGCACTAAATTCCATGACATCTGGGCTGGGGGTTCCAGGAAATGGGTCAGAGGGGCAATTTGGGACTCCCCAGTGGCTCCAACTGGGAAGACAGGAAGGAAGAGCCTTCTCAGGTGGGTCTGCAACCCTCCAGGGTGCTTCAGCTTTTTGGGAGGGCTTGGGATAAACCTGAAATCCTGTTGGAAAGACCAGATACTGTGTTTAATACCCTACTCACCAGCACAGGGAGGACCAGAGCCATGAAGCCCCCACAGAAGATGGCAAAGACCACGGAGTAGGTGAGGAGTGAGGAGAAGGTGGTGGCCAGAGGACACAGCAGGTTGGTGATGCCACTGAGGACAAGGTAAGCCATGTGGTAGTGATACTTCTTGGTCCAGTTCTGGTCAGCTACCCAGCCTGAGAGCAGCTGGCTCAGCATCTCTGTGATGCCTGGGAGGAAAAGGAGATGTCACCAGAGCCTTCAAAATGACTTGATTTCCCATGATTTGGGCTCTTTTGCATCATGTTGGGTCTGAAACACCTCCTGATTCCACCTGCCTGGAGGAACCTGACCAGGTTGAGGTGGTTTCAGGCTGTTGTAAAATCAATTTATTGCTTTTTTTTTTGCCTTGCCAAGTGCCCCTGGTGCAGCACAGGGCTCTGTGAAGCTGCAGGGAAGGGCTGAGCACCCACCTGAAAACTCCTTCTTATTTCTATCTTATTTGTTATATATGACATATCATAGGATGACAGGATGGTCTGGGTTGGAAGGGACCTTCAAGATCATCCAGTCCCAACCCCCTGCATGGGCAGGGACACCTCCCACCAGCCCAGGCTGCTCCAAGCCCCATCCAACCTGCCCTTCAACACTGCCAGGGATGGGGCAGCCACAGCTTCCCTGGGCAACCTGGGCCAGGCTCTCACCACCCTCACACCAAAGAATTCCCTCCTCATCTCCAACCTCAACCTCCCTCTCCCACTTTTCATCCATCCCCCTCATCCCATCCCTCCCTGCCCTTGTCCCAAGTCCCTCCCCAGCTTTCCTGGAGCCCCTTCAGGCACTGGAAGCTGCTCTAAGGTCTCCCTGGAGCCTTCTCTTCTCCAGGCTGAACACCCCAACTCTCCCAGCCTGGCTCCAGAGCAGAGCTGCTCCAGCCTTGGATCATCTCTGTGGCTCCTCTGGACTCTCCCCAGGAGCTCCATCTCCTCCTTATACTGGGGGCTCCAGAACAGGACACAGGACTTAAAAAAACAGAAGGGAAACCCCACATTTGAACCCTGCCAGCAGCAGAGTAATGACCCTGTTCCTGTGGGTTTGAGCCCCAAAACAGGAGTTTGGAACATCCAACCTCAATCTCCTCTCCTCCAGTTTGAATGCATTACCCCATGTCCTCCTTCCAGTAGATAAATGCCCTTCAGGAAACCCAGGGAAGATACATTTGCTGCTTGATCTCATTTTCAAGACAGATCAGAAGCAGAACATGAAGGAGAAACAGGAGCTGTTTAATTTTTTTTTGTCAAGGCTCAGCAAAACTTTGGATACTTGATTTGTTTTTACCTCTCTCAAGGATGGATTTGGATGAGCTGAAGATCAGAGGAGCCCTCCCTGGCAGCTCATCTCTTGCTGACCCCTGTGTCCCTCCCACTCTTCATTTAACAGGTCAGATTAATTGCTCCTCAATGTCATTTCTAACTGTTACACAGCAGAGTGGAAGTGAATCATTTTCTTTTTGTGCAATAAAATAATTTCTCCTGATTGAGGTTGGAGCTGCTTTCTTAACCTGCTGCTATTTTAGTGCTAATCCCTGCTCATTACCTGGCAAGGGGTTGGTTTTTGGGAGGTTGTGGGTTGGTTTCCTCCTCCCTCCCCCCTTGGAGGGGAAGGTGCTAAATCTAAATGAGGTAGATCCAGGTGAATGTGGTTGTGTTTGGGGTGGGATTTTTCCCCCCCTATGGAATTTTTCTCTCTCTGCACAGATTCCTGGGGCAAACTAGAGGTTTTGGGGTCTGAGTGACTCTGGGTTCCTGTGGTTTGGGGGCTGGAGGGAAGCAGGGGCTGTGGGGGGAAGGATTTGGAAGACCAGGGAGCACCTCTGGAACTGGAAACCTGTGGGGTTTGGTGGAGTGAGGATGGGGGATCATCTGCCTTGGGTTGGGAGAACAACCCACCACATCAGAATGACTTTGGAGATGGGAGAGAAAGCAACTCTGGATATTCAGAAAGAGGGATAAAAGCTGAGAGCTGAACCTCTTCCTGGCAGATTTATTCTAGGACATCTTTGGGGCTGTTTCTTGGCAAGGTTTGTGTTGGTTTCCTTCCCTCTTTGGGCCTCCTTGACATGAGAAATGACTTGAAAAGGTTCTTTTGCCTACCAGCCACTGAGATGAGGTAAGAGGCATCCATGCTGCTGATCCCCAGGGTCCTGGCTCTGGGCACCAGGTGGAAGATGGGCACAAAATAGGCCAAGTGGCTGAAAAAAAAAGACCAGGTGAAAATGCTGAAGATGGGATCCTTCAGTGGGGAGAAATCCAGGAGAGGTTCCGAGTTGGCTTTGGTGGTCACTGGAAGGGATTTGGAGCCTCTCTTGGCCTTGCTGGCTGTTCCTGGGGAGTCCATGGGGGGTTTCTCAAGCTCTTCCAAAGTCAACACATCTCCAGTGTGGGACTTCAGGAGTCCCTCTGTGGTGGGAAGGTCCTGTGTCCTGCCAAGCTGGGTTGCCTTGCCAGTGGTGTCACCTGAGCATCCATCAAGGGTTTCTGAGTCCTTCTTTCCCATGTAAGACCCACGAGCTGGGTGTTGAGCAGAGGACTCTGGTGCTGCTTGGGTGCTTCTGGGTCTCAGCAACAAGCTGGAAGGCACAAGGTTCATCATGATGCCTCCAAAAATCAGGAGAGTACCTGAGGGAAGACAGAAGATGCTTTTTTCTTGGCATGGGGAAGGAACCGCAGGAGGAAATGATCTTTCTAGAGTAGGATGTAGTTGATACTGGACATGGAGAAAGCTCTAAGGTTTCTTACAGGAGCTTTTGTTCCTGGTTTCCCAGCTGGAAGTGCCTTTCTCTGGGATGCAGGGACCAAATCCAGAGCTATCTTTGGGATGTGGAGTTTGGGGGTTTTTTTATCCCCTCATTAGAAGTCCATTGCACATGACAAACCTTCCAGCTGGCCTGAAAAAGTGGGGTAAAAATAGGGTTTCTGAGATTTCTGGCTTAATTTAATGACTGAGAAAGGGTTGAGTCATTAACCAGGTGTCCTGGAAGAGGCAGAGTCATCCCCTGGTGCATCCATTGTAAGTTTTCAAAAGATCCTCTTATCCTGCCTAGAACATAGAATGGTTTGGGTTGGAAGGGACCTTCAAGATCATCCAGCCCCAACCCCTGCATGGGCAGGGACACCTCCCACCAGCAGCATCCCAGGCTGCTCCAAGCCCCATCCAACCTGCCCTTCAACACTGCCAGGGATGGGGCAGCCACAGCTTCCCTCTTAACGAAACATACAATCACAGACCACCCTGGTGGTGGGACTGGACCAAATATGAGAGATGGTGTCACCTTGCCAGCCATAAAAATCGATGAGGAGTTGGGTGAAGGGTGCAATGAGGAAGGTCAGGCCCATCCCAGAGCGGGCGAGGGCGTTGGAGAAACCCAAGCGTGTCCTGCAGCTCTTGGCTGTCATCACTGCAGCTGCCTGGTAGAGGCAGGAGAAGCCCAGACCTGTAGGAAGGGGAGAAAGAAGATCTCCAGCAGGTTGGATGGGGCTCTGAGCAACCTGGGCTGGTGGGAGGTGTCCCTGCCCATGCAGGGAGGTTGGATCTGGATGATCTTGAAGGTCCCTTCCCACCCAAACTGCTCAATGTTGTGCTGGTGGTGGAGCTGCTCTGTAGGGTTGAAATCAGGAGGGAGAAATATTTCATGGGTGGTCTCTAGTAGCTGGGAGGGGTTGAGGCTGGTGCACTTCTAGTGGTGGTTGGAAAAGGTTCATTCATGGTGGGTCTGGGAAAAAAGCTAAGTTAGTTTGGTCTATGATACTGCAACTGGTATCTTGTGGTCCTCAGCATGAAGCTGTGGGGTGTCACAGAATCATGATGGGTTTGGGTTGGAAGGGACCTTCAAGATCTTCTAGATCCACCCCCCTGCATGGGCAGGGACACCTCCCACCAGCCCAGGCTGCTCCAAGCCCCATCCAACCTGCCCTTCAACACTGCCAGGGATGGGGCAGCCACAGCTTCCCTGGGCAACCTGGGCCAGGCTCTCACCACCCTCACACCAAAGAATTCCCTCCTTATCTCCAGCCTCAATCTCCCTCTTCCAGTTTTAATCCATCCCCCCTTGGCCTCTCCCTCCCTGCCCTTGTCCCAAGTCCCTCCCCAGCTTTCCTGGAGCCCCTCCAGGCACTGGAAGCTGCTCTCAGGTCTCACAGTGTCTCCCAGAAAGGCTGTTTCCCTGTCTCAGGACCTGCCTGGTTGAACGTTTCAGGAGCTGCTTTTACTCCTCGTGCCCAGGGAAGTCTCAGCCCAACCAGGAGTCCTTGGTTGCTCACCCAGGAGAAGTCCCATGGAGACGTAGAGGAAGGGGACACTGGTGGCCTGGGTGCTCAGCAGGCAGCCCCCCACAACCAGCCCAGCCCCCAGGATGGAGGTGGGTCTCTCCCCCAGCCTCCTGCAGACCATGGACACCACCGGGGCTGGAAGGGAAGAGGAGGGAGAAAACTGAAGCTGGAGATGCCAGATGAGGCTTTGCAGGACTTGGGGGGGTCATTGCAGCTGGGGGGTGTGGCCCCCTGGGAGGGACAGAAGGAATTCAGGATGGGTTAGGATTTAGGAGAGTGGCCAAGAGACTTTTCCTTCTACCAGAGGAGCTCAGGAGAAGGTGTCAAAGCCCAGATGTCCTGTGTTTGCTTCCCAACCCACCCCAGGCTCCACAGCTGGGAATCATTCAGCTCAGAGGTGGTCAAACTGGTGGTGAAGGGGGGGAGGTTTTGGTCTGAAGGTGGACACTGAACCTGCTGCAGACACAACCCCCATCCCTGGCCCAGATACCTGGGTCTGAGCTGTGTCCACCTTGCAGGAACCTGGGCTGGCCAGGGGGTCTGCAGGGCACCCCACAAAGCAGAGCAAAGGGGGCTGAGGTGGGAATGCTGCCCCAATCCTTAGGGATGGGAGGGAACTTCACCTCCTAGGAAGCGCAGGGAGGACATGATGGACCCGATCCAGCTGAGCTGCTCAGAGGAACCTCCCACCTCCTCCTGGAAAGCCACAAAGAAGATCCCAAAGGTCTTGAGCATCCCTATCACGAAGACGTTGACCTGGGTTGGAAGCAGGTGGAGGTGAGATGATGCCCAAGGGCTTGGGCAGGAGGAAAAAGCTTTTTGGGGTTGGATCATTTCTTGGGGGGTTTTGGGGAGAAACAACCTGGGACACGTGAACTGGTGGTGGGGGGGGGAACATCAGCAGGGTGGGTTGGTGGTGGCCACACTGCTGGGTTTTTGTCAGACCTTCCAAAAACCTGCTGTGAAAATGGGCTTTTCCAAAGGAAAGGAACAAAAACCAGCCCAGAGTTGGACTCCTGTGGGGTTGTTTATTTTTCTTTTTGCTCTAAAAGTTACTTTTTAACCCTAAAGAATCATCTAGGTGGGTTGGAGCCCTCGGGAAGATCACAAGGAGCTGGTGGGGTGTTGAGCAGAGCAGGGATGGAGATTTGCTTGGAGCACTTTCCCAGGCTTGTCCTGCCCTGGGGGCAAAGGACAATTTGTGTCCTGAAGTCCTTCCCTCCTCCCCAGCAGCAGGAGGTTAAAGTTTTGCCAGGGAGTTCCTTGGGATGGGGTGGAAGCAGGGGAGGTTTTCCTGCACTTCCCAGCTGTCCTGGCTGAGGGTGGCATTGTCTCCATCATGGCTGGGAAGGTGGTGAGGGGTGTTAAAGCCTGGAGTGTGAATTGGTGCCTTCAAGTGGTGCCTGGTCCTCCTGGGAGAGCAGGAAGGAGCTGCCTGCACCCTGTGCCACTGCTGGGCACCCATCTCAGCTCTCACCCACTGCTATCCCAAGGGCTTTCATCTTTAGGGACCCCACAAAACACCCCTTTGGGGGCTGCCCCCCCAGGGCTGGGGTGTGTGAGGAGGGACAAGAATCATCAAACCATCCTGGTTGGAAGGGACCTTGAGGATCATCAAGTCCAACCATCAAATAGCATCTGGTTGTTTTGAGCCACCTGGGCACCTTCATCCCCACCTGAGATGTTTGCAGGTGGCATTTCCTGGGGGGAGGAAGGTGGGGGCTCCTGCTCAGGCCCTGGGGAACCAGGAGAGGACAAAGCTCTGCTGGTTGGTGCCCTCAGCTTGGTGGGATCAGCCCGTCCTGTCCCCTGCTCCCTGGGGTGACACTCCAGCCCTTCTGCCCCAGCTCCAGGAGGGCTGAGGTGAGTTTGGGCCCTGCTTACCAGGAAGAAATGAAGCACCACTTCCCAGGCCCACCCTCTGTCTGCAGCTCTGGTGCCTGGACCCTTCCTGGCTGCCTCTGGCTCTTCCTCCTTCCTCTTCCCTGGAAAGGAGAAGTGCAGGACACATGAACCCCAATCCCTGCTCCCACTGACCTCCAGGAGCTGCTCCTGTGGCAGCATCAGCTGCTTCAGCCCTTCCTTCCTCTGCCTCAATCCTTCCTCTGCCTCAATCCTTCCTCTGCCTCAGCCCTTCCTCTGCCTCAGCCCTTCCTCTGCCTCAGCCCTTCCTCTCCCTCAGCCCTTCCTCCGCCTCCGCCCCTCCTC